TCACTTGACTTTTTATAGCGATTCACAAAAAGCCCTGTCCTCTCAATGAGTTAGCTTTTATAGACTATGATAAATCCCTGCATGACATCCCCTCTTCTCTTGCTGCCTTTATTTTCATGCAGAGGCTCTCACCTCTCTTCCTGCTCCAGCCATTCATGCAGAATCAGCACAACACCACTCTTCATTTTCAGACCCCTTCCTCCCTTCCCTCCTGACCAACTTGCTCTTACTTCCCAGGTCTGACTTCAGGCTGTAGGCTTCAGACATGATTGATTTAAAGGTCTACAGTGTTTATTAATTACCATTATTATTAAGATTAACTACTACTACTATTGATTACCACTACTAAGAAACTAAAAAATCTAATAAAACTATATCTTTTGGCACACTATTATGCACAATTATAAAGCTATTAGTTGTAATTCTTAAATCTTATGAATCATGCACAACTACTGTCGAATTGCAGTTTCATCTCTCTTCCCTCTACCAGCTGGTACTAGGGTACAAATCTGTCACTCCTTACTCTGTCTTCTCACACCAAGTGTTTCAGACATCACCCTGATGGGGCAGCTGGCAGGCTGTCCTAAGGGGTTCCATTCAGTAGCCTACTAGGCTTATCTCTGCAGGCCAGCTCTTTTTCTGATTTTATACCTGATTGTCCCTTTTTTCTATTTCTGGACCTACCTTTTCACTGACCACGACTCTCCCCTTCTCTGCCCAGTCTTCTCCCAAATGAGCAACTGGCCCTTAATTACTTTTTCCTTGTTGATCTCAATTCTGCCACATTCATACCCAAATCTGATGTTTTACTTATCATTACCAAAGCAATCTTGGTGTTATATGATATTACTGATGCAGCTGTCTAGGCACAGATGACCTTGCAAGACTCTGCATCCCAAAGCTCCCCTAAAATTACCTGGCAACATATTAGTTACCTTATACACTCTCTAAGATAAATCGCTCCACTTCTGCCATGATTCCTCTCCCTTGCTCCAGCACAGTACCGGCAGTTTCCTATTGCCTGTGCAATCTGCATACCAGCGCAACAGTGACATGCCTTTTATCCAGTTTCTGTATTCACACACCAGCCTTGCCCTTGGATTGTTTTACTCACCCTCCCAGTTCCCAGAGTTGTTTATGGGTCTAGTGCTCTAGCTGGACCCCTTTTACCAGCTGCACCCATTGGGCTTTCCCCAAGCTGCTTTGCTGGTGACTAATTCTCAGGTGTGGTGAGGAATGGGCAGTCTGTTCCTCCAGCTCCCCTCCCAGTCCTAGCACTTGCAGAGACATATCCCTCTTGTTTTCTTGTACCTGTGAGGCAGCGTTTTTGGCTCCTTCAGAGCAAAAGTAATGGTGTGGGGCTGCATGGCCTGCATCCCAGATGACTTTTCAGCCTTCAGCAGATGAAGCCAGTTTCCTCCTGCTGCTTTGCTTCTGCAGGATGCTGAAGTCCTGCTGCACAAAGCAGCAGCTGCCCTGAGCTGGACTGAAAATCTCCTGCCCCAGCACCTGGCCTCTAACAGCATCCCCTAGCACGTGCCTAGGAAGGCCAAGAGGACAGTAATGTTGATGGTCCCACCTCAGGCAAGGGGATTTCCCGACACAGGCAACTCTGCCAGCACCAGGTCCCCTCCTGTCACCCCAAAATTATGTCAACAACTCAAGCGCCTTCTTGCCTGATACACAGCTCCCTAAGCTACCCTAAATTGTATCCCACAAGACTCATCCCCCTCCCCTCCTGGGAGCTGGGCAGCATGAAGAGTCATCGCTTTACGGCTGTGACTTGCCCTGGTCAATGTCTATGGCTGTCCCTTGGGTTTGCACAGCAGCCCCTCTTGCTCTCTGATAGACAAGCAAGGTGAAGGCTCTCATGGCTTCAGCTCCCTGCTCCCCATTCAGGGCTGTGCCTTGCTGTGCTCCTGGTATTGCTGGGCTGCATCAGTGGGGAGACAGTACGATTTTCCCAGAGCTTGTTTGCTTGAGCTTGGCTTGTTATGCCATGGAACATGAAAGGCACGACCTGCCGGGCCTTTGCAGGATGGCAGGACTTGTCCCACATGCGGGCTGTGCATGGCAGCCACTGTTCCAACAAAGGATACCACCAGGGTGTAGTTCAGCATGAGGTATCTGAGCTCATCTTTGACATAAAGCAGCAAACAGAGTTGCTGGGAGGATAAGAGGCTGGGAAGATACCCCCATTTACACGTGGCGTGGCCCTGTGGCTGCAGTGTTGCCCACACTGCAAACTAGTCACTCATCTTCATCTGCCGGTGTGGGACTGTGACCAGGGTGGGTGCCTATTGATGACCCCTGCCGAAGCAGTTTGAGTGTCAGGGTGGCGACAGGCCATGCTTTTAGCTAGCTGCAATGCAACTTGCCTTGTGTCCTGGGCATACTCCCCTTTTATGACACAGGAGAGACCAGGGCAAGACGGAGGAGGGTGGCTGTTGACAGACACATGCAGGGCAGCCCTGCCCTCCAAGAGGCCATGGAGAAGCTAGGGTAGCAGAGGCTCTAAGGGATGCAAGGGTTAAAACATCCCTCTGCCTTTGAGGTTTCTTTCCCTGAACAGACCGAGAGGAGAGGCAAGCAAAACAGGGAGACAGTGCCCTTGCCGCCCTCCCCACCAAAATTAACTCTCCATCTGTTTCTTCCCGGCTGAGGCTGATGGCTTGTGACAGGGCCTCCTGAATGCAAAGATGTTTCACCCAGAAAATCTATTACAAGTTGCTCTAAGAAAGACAGAAATTCTCTCCTGCTGTCTCTCCCTACTGGTCTCTCAAGGTGCCCACCCCAGGCAAGAGAGGGGCTGGAGCACACAGCCTGCTGCCTTCACTGAGCCGGAAAGCTCACCCTCACCAGGCTGCAGCTCGGCCTGCCTTGCCGCAGGCTCCAAAATGGGGGTCACCAGGGAGGCTGTAGCAGAGGGTCAGGCTGTCTGAGTGGACCGTACGATTTGGCAAGGGTGCGGGCATTGTCCAGCAGGAAAGTAAGGATAGAATAAAGTCATTCCCCAAACCTTGGTATGGTGTTTCTGATGCACTTTGTACTACCCTGGCACCATTGCTTATGTGAGAGGAAAAAGAAAAAAAGCACTTGCAAAGATGGCCTGGGATGCTGAAACTGCTGCCATGGTTCCTCGGCCCCTGCTCCTGATGCTAGGTCTTTGAGCTCCCCTAGAGTCAGCCTCCACAATACAGATGGGAAAACTGAGGCAGCAGCTTCCCGAGGAGCATGCTAGTGGCTCCGTAGGGATTAAGGAGTTGAAGTGCTTGCTCTTGCTTTGCAGGGCTTAACCCACCCTGGCTGCAGCATCCCCTCTGGTGGAAATGGTGAGACTGGACAAAGTCTTAGTGTCAGACTGGACAAAGATCCAGGGAAAGCGGGTAGAGCTGGGGCAGTGCCAGCAGCTCTGGGAGGTGCGGCGGAGGCGGATACCGCAACCCTTGCCAAGACCTGGAGATGTAGAAGCAGCTGCGTCCTGCCTCCCCCTCCCAAGCCACACACTGTAGTTGGCACCAGATGGCCTGCTGGAGTGCCATTCTTGCCATGCATGAGTTGTGCTACATCGGAGGCAGTGCAGGACCCCTAGACCTGCTAGCCTCACAGGAGAGGGTGGTGGAAGCGGATCCTATGCACAGATCTACCATGTGCCCTTGCTGGTTAAACCTTGGCACGCTGGAGACACCCTGATCCTGTGCACTCTCACCTTATGACCTCCAGGCAGAAGGGAGCAGTGAGCAAGGGTGCTGCATAGCCACATGCAGCAAGAAGGGCTACATAAGAGGCAGCACTGCGGCCCCTCTGTCAGTCAATGTTTCCATCCTGCAGCACTGCAGAGGCCCCAGGATCTCCTCTGCATGGAAAAGGTGCCAGGACATCTGTGCTCCTCCGTGCCAGGCTAGGCTGGCAAAATGCCAGGAACTTCGAGGCAGCCCAGTGCCTCTCGTGCTGCTGAGAGGGGATCCAGACCTTGCCCCAGGAATAACCGAGGGCCTGCAAAGGTTGAAGTGCCAGTGGGCTGAGACTATGTGGCTGAGGTGCAGCCCTCCTGCTTGGCCCCACGCATCCCCTGCGCAAAGCCACCATGAGCCACGCTCCCAAGCAGTTAAGGAGCGGATGCCTGGAAGGGAGAGTGAAGGCAGGGCGCGCAGCCCGCAGACGGCGGGACGGCAGGGTCGCTTCGGCCGTGCCGTGCCGGCCCTTCCCGGGCACACATCGCCCTCTCCCGGCTGCTGCGGAGCTGCGCCGACGGCCCCCGCCGCTGAAGGAGCCCTACTTGGCCCCGGCCTTCAGGGCTTCGAGGCAGCTTTTAAAGCTCGGCATTGGCTGCAGCTTGATTTATGCGAGTTTCTGACTTTTCTGGGCCAGATGAAGCTAAGGAAATCTTAAGCTCAAAATTCACTTTTTTTTTGTTTTCAACTAATTTTCAGAAGGCTGACTGATGTGTACCCCAGGGAGGTATATCACCTGCCACTACACCAACCCTGAAGTAGGCAGGGGCCCCCAGAGGAGCTGAAACAAATCCCCCAGTGCTGGAGGAGATCTGCTCATCCTGAGCATGCTGTGGTGCTGCTTAGCCAGGTTTGGGAGGCCCTCCAGACACACTGCCAACCGACCCCAATGGGTGAAGCACCTTATCATAAGCCTCCCTGTCCCCTTCAGTGACAGTTGTTTACAGGGGCAAGAGGAGATGCAAGCAGGGACAGTCAGATCAGAGAGACGAAACTTGCACCATTCACTGCAGGGAGACCTCTTGGGGCTGGCTGTAGCCTGGCCCCCAAGCATGCGACCCAGGGTTCCTGCAGCCACTTGCTAAAAGCTCCAGCCATCCTGCTCTCTGTAGAAATGGCTTTAAGGCTCTTCCTTAGCCCCCAAAGTCACACAGCCAGGTGCCACCATTCCTCCCTTTCCCTTCAGGCCTGCTTCCTCAGCACCTTCCCATGGTGGTGCAGCTGATCCAGTATCCCCAAAGCACAGTAAATCCAGGCAGCTTCAGTAAAAAACAAAACTTTATTTGGTCCATCAGAACCTGAGTTTGAAAACCACCATAATTTGTATCATACAGGGATTACTGATCTGATTTACATTGATAAAATATCCTGTGTTTCTTAAGAGCTGGACAGTATGTACAGGGTTAAAAATATTCACAGATCAAAGACGGAAAGAGAAAGAGAAAAAGCGAAGAACAAATCATCCCAAGGAGGAAAGAGCAGGGAACCGAGAAAACAGATCAACAAATAAAGATACAGACAGCTTGGCTCAGCAGCCCCTGCCCCAAGGGGCCAGGAGGGTCCCACAGCAGCATGTGCCCCAGAGGGCACATCTTCCCAGGCCCCTGCCCACCCCTTATCTCTTTAAGGACTGGGAAGGGATGGACACAGGCAGGCAAACCCCAAACCTCCCATGTCCAGGGCCTGGTGTTCTCAGTGTACCCAGGGGTGGCCACTATTGCAAGCAGTGGGATGCAGAATGCACTCCAACCTGCATCCCCACCAGGAGCCTGGCCATTATTGGGGCCCAACATCTCCCATCACCCCCCTGGAGCTGCAGGTCCTCACAACCTAGGAAGGATAGTAATAACACTAGCAGACACCCCTGACACACACCCCCACCCCCCCCCCCTCTCTCTCTCTCTCTGTGTGTGTGTGTGTGTGTGTGTGTCTCTCTCTCTCTCTCTCTCTCTCTCACTAAGACAGAGAGCCATGATGCCCAGACACCACTGGGACAAAGCCTGCCCCCACCACTGCACATGGCAACTAAGTAAAGCAAACCAGTGCGAGCTGCTCCCCTAACATTGGGTCTATACCTGTTGCCCTGCACCCTGCTCCCCTCCATCACCTGCTAGGCACTGCCAAACTGCCAGCATTCAGCCCCTGCCTTCACAGGGCATAGGGCTGGCCTGCTGAGGTCACAGCAGGGCAGTGCCCAGGGCCAGGGAGCCAAGCCCCAGCTTGAGACTCATGGCTTCTCTCCAGGCACTGCTTTCAGTGCTTGCCATTGCATAGTAACACTTGTGTGATGAGTCGAGGGGGGCCCTGTTGCTACAAAGCAGCGAAGTGTCTCCCCCCTCCAAGGATGCAGGAAACCTATCCTTGCTCCCCACTGCAGAGCACAGGCAGAGAAGTGGATCTGTTCATTTTGCTCCAAGATGCTGTGAAAAGCATCAGTAGTGGATTTTTAAAAGAATCAAGCACCTTCTCCTTCTTAGCCCCAACCACCACTCCTCTGTCTTCACCCTGCAGGCAGGGGCAGCCTGGTCTCCCAGGGCCAGGCAAGGTGCCAGAGTCAGTCTGGGAAATGCAGCGACTCCACACCATGAACAGTAAGCAAAGGTGGCACAAGGGTAGGGCGACCACAGCACATCCCATGCCCGTGTGGTGATCTGAATCAGCAGCTTCTGTTGCACAGCAAAGGTACCTTGATGCCAGTCTCCCATTCATTTCTCACAGCAGACAACAGGGGGAAAAGACAGTGAGAAGGGCCCAGCAGGCAGACAGAGAATCACATAGATGGACAGACTTGAGAGGTATATTCTTTTGCTTTTTTGCAGCACCAGGGCCCTGGCGCTATGGGAGGGGGCAGAGTCCTGAGCATGGTGCCTCGGAAGGGGGTTGATGGCAACTTCCAACCCCCTCCCTCTCCCGCAGGCCCCTGCTACCACTCTGTACGCCTGGGGCGAGGCAGAGGGCACCAAACCCCAGTGCGAGCTTTGGGGAGGTGGGATCCTGAGAAAGCCACAGACCAGGCTGTGCCCTCATCCCTGTGCCCCCGCTACCCCCCAGTGGCTCCTCATAAAGTGCGTGAATTGGCAGGGGGGAGGCAGGTGCTGCTGGGGAGGAGGTGGTGAGCAGAGCTGGTCCTGGCCCCTGAGAACTCACCCCCAGCCCCACGGACGAAGGGCAAAGTGCTTGGTGTGACATTCCAGCTCTGCCCTGCGGCTCAGTGCTGACAGTTTGGGGGGGGCGACCCCAGGCCAGAGGCTTGGCGAAAATAAAGGAGGAGAGGAGTGGTGTAGAGGAGGCATTTTGTCATAGCGGCCGGGGCCCATGCAGCCCGGCAACCTCAGGTGTGAGCAGGGGGTTGTGGGTGCCTTTTGTGGACATCCAGTCATTGAGGAAGGCCTGGGTGGCTTTACGGTGTGCTAGACGGTGGGTGATGGAGAAGCCAGCGTTACCCTCCAGCTGGGAAAGGATCACCAACACCTGCCTGCAAAGAAAGGGCCAAGCTCAGGGCTGGCCAGCTGCCCAGCTTGGCAAAGAAATATGCTGCCCCCATGCCAGGCAGAAAGGCTTGCTGCCTGGCTTAATCCATACCACAGCAATCCCATACCCTGCTTGGCTCGGCCAAGCATCCATCCTTCATGCCAGTGCTGTGCCTGGCTCTGCCCACCCTTTGCCTGTCACTCCAATGCTCAGCCTGCAAACCTTTGCCCACACCACCCAACCAGCCCCATACCCTGCTTTGCTTCAAACCTGTCAGCGCTCCTCAGTGTCAACAGCACATGCACCTGCCTTCCCCATGCAGCCCTGCACCAACCTCCAACCCTTCCACCCTTGCCTACCCCCGACCTGTGCAGGGGGGGAACGCTGTCCTGGGTTTTGAGGCTGCCACGTGTGGAGACGACGTTGAAGCTGTCAGTGCAGTCACACTGGACGTGCAGGTAGGACTTGGGGTGCCGGTTCTCCACCACCACAATGAGCCCTGCCCAGCCGTGTGTCAGGTAGTAGCACGTCATCCCCTCACGACCCTGAGGCAAACAATCCAGTCAGGTATCTGAACCCTCTGGGTACCCCTGTCTCTGAGTTTCAGCCCCTAAATCAGCATCTTTCACCTCCCAGCCAAGCACTGCCACCCTGTGCCTCCCATCTGGCTAGGGTACTCCATGCTGACCCACTTAGAGAAGGGGGGGCACCCACGGGGCAGGAAGGGACTGGACTCCAGGCAGAGCTGGCACAGGCCCTTCCTGATTACTGCCAGGGACTCTGACAGCATGGTAGAGGACAGGGGTCCTGGCTTCTGCTAGCACCATTGCCCTCTCCCCTCTGCAGCCATGGCCTGCACCATCGCCTGCCATGTGCCACCCTCACCCACCTCGTGGCGCTCGCCCTTGTTCTCAGTCAGCAGGATGATGGCATCTGCCAGCGTGGTGGGCTGTGCCTCCACCTGCTCCACCATCACCAGGCGGGAGCTGTAGATGGCCAGGATATAGCTCGAATAATCAGTGGCCTGCCGGCTGCTGGTGGGACTGGACACTGTGGGGATGACACAGCACACATGAGGGTGTTCAGTGAGACTGTCCCAGAGCCACCTCCCCTGGGAGCACAGCTTTGCTGGGTTGCTGCACACACCCTAACCCAGCAGTGCCCCCACAGCAATGTTTGGGGGGCTTCATCATCTCTGCCTCCCCCAGGGGTCACCATCAGCATCTCTGTGGTGAGGGGAGCCCAGTTCCAACACAGCTTCTCAGGCCCCAGCACCCCTTACCCTGGGCAGCAGTGGGGGCTACCAGGGCAGCGTTCCAGTGGTTGAAGGCACAGCACACGACAGCGTACTCGCCCGGCTCCAGCATGACATCACAGTTAACGAACTTCTTGACGGCTCGTTTGCTATGAGCCATCAGCCGGCCCAGGCTCAGTTTGTTCCCGCTGGTGAAGGTAGCTCGGAAAACCATGATGCACAGATCCAGCAAGTGGCTGTCCACCATGTCCGACCGCCTGCAACAGGACAAGGAGGGTCACACCTCACCCAAGCACCTCCCAGCAGAGTACATGGAGAGCACCCACTCTGGGCAGGATGGCAAATCTAGAGGAACAGTCCTCCCACGGGGCCTGGATAGATTCCCTGACTATCCTGCCTCAGGAACCAGTGCTTGTTCAAGGTTTGGGTTTCAGCTGTGATCACCCAGCTCCTGAAACACAAGGGAGCCCATGAGAATCAGTGAAGAAACGCCAATGGAGGCCAATCCCCAAGCTTTGCAACCCCACGGGATGGGATGTGGAGGTAGTGTGATCAAGGCAAAACACATTTCTCCTGGGTTCTGGTTCACTGCTTTTGGCCCTCGTGGCTGCCCAACTCACCTGCTGCCCTCCTGGAAGAGGGCAAACTCCAGGGCAGCACGCTCCAACACTGTCAGCGATGTCACCGTCACCGGCCCATTGGCCTTGTTGGGGAACATGCCCTGGACACGCACCTCGTGCCAGTCTGAATGGAGCTTGCAGATATCCACGGAGTCAAAATACCTGTGGGAAATCTGGGCTCAGGCCCTGTGAGGTCCTCTGCAGATGCACTGCTCTGCCCTCATGCCCCAATCCACTGTGCCTCACACAGCTGGAAAGAAGCAGGCACTGGAAGTTCTCTGGAGATGCCTAGCCCAATGTGCCCCATCTTTAGCCCCATGTCGCATTTTCTTTCCCAGCCCAAAGATTCTGGGCTCAGACAACAGGCCTGTCTCCATACCATTGAGATGAGACCTCCAGACGGGCAGTGCCTGCTTTCCAGATGGGATATTAGCACTCTGATAAGGTGAGAGTGACAGGAGAGGGAGCAGAGCTGAAGGGGTGAAGGGAGGGAGAGCAGTGACCTTGGGAGGGCTCTCCCCAAAGCTCTGCACCCACCTGGGCCCAAGGTCCTCACAGAGGCAAGGAAATAGGAACTGCCAGTAGCTGCAGCAGCTGCTGCACCCACTAGGTGGCATGGCCCTGCCACACTGGCTGAGCTGCACTGCCAGTGTCAGGTTGGGCCAGGAGCATCCCTGCTTTCTCTTCCAGGAAAAGGAGCAGGAGCAGAGGAGCAGCCCCAGTTCCCCACGCTGTCCTGCAGAGGCTTCGCCCCAGAAGTGCTCACTGATCTCTGATCCTGGCACAAGCCAGTCTGGCTGCTCTGTGGGGGGCAGTGCCCAGCTGCCACTGAATGCGTGGGCCCAGCCAGTGCATCAGGCCATGGAGGCAGAGGCCAGAGTTCCCCACAAAAGGATTTCTCCATTCAGTCTCCTCTGAGTGAAGGAGTCGCCATGACAAAACAGCCCTTGAGGAAATTTCATCGCACAGTCTCCACCCACCCCTTCTGCTCTTTAGTCCCCATGTCATGTGGCCTTGCTCCTGCCCCACACCCAAGCCCAGGATCTGCCCCTTGAATAGAGGCCTGGGGGTCTCTGCCTCCTGGGCACTACCATACTTAATGAAATCGCTGTACTCCATCCAGAAGACCCCCTCGCTGCTGCCATGGGGCATCAGGTCATGACGCAAGGGGCCAGGCCAGTGGGGCCACTCGTCAGACCAGCTGCCGTTCCAGGAGAAGCGGCCCCAGGGGTTTCGGAGCCGCAGTAACCTGGGGGAAGGGGAACAAGGGTGTCAGAGGCCCAGGGCAAGGGAAGACACAAGGGTGATCGCCTCTGAGATATTCACCCCTCTCCACAAACTCAGCCACTCAGTTTGGCCACCCCCAAAGGCGGCATCACAAAACCTTCTGCCCCTCCAGCCTGCCCCTGACTTTCAGAGCTCTCAGAGCATCCCAAACCAAATTTTCCACCCGTCTCCCTCAACAGACCCCAGATGTCCATGTCCTGCACTTCTGTTTGGACCTGCTGAAGCTCATCCCACCATTCCTTGCCCAGAAGGGCCTCCAGTCAGGCACTGCGGGGAGGGGACTGGTGAGCAAATGCTCAGAGAGCAGCACAAGACCCCGCATGACATAGCTAAAAATCAGGCTTCACAACAGGCACCCAGGCAGTTGGGGCAACACCCATTTCAATCCCCCCCACTCCACAAAGATGAGAAGGATGCCCTGATCGCTTCATACTGAAAGGGTTTGACTCAATCCTCTGTGTCATGCCACCCAATGGGAAGATTGAGCAAACCATACCGCACAGACCTCAAAGATCAGAGAGGGCCACCCAGAGCAGAGCAGCCTAAGACATGGACCCAGTGACACACAAGGCCAGCTTATATGACAGCAGCATTTATGTGATGCCATGAAATGGAGAAGCAGCCCTTACTGACCATAAGGATGGGAGACATGAGAGTCCCCAAGGTCTTGTCCAGCATGCTAATCCCTTGCGTTCTTCTTCATCTGTCTCCAGGGTTTCTGCTCAGGCTGTATTGGTAGGAACATTTACTGTACTATGCCAGCCTCCACCACGTAACTCACCTGAAACCTTGGACATCCCGTACATCCAGGATAGAGTAGGCATGCCGTGGACGGAGACCCATACTCTCATAGGCCACATCATCCACCTTCATGTTTCCCCCACCACAGGAAGCACCCATGAGGAACCTACACGGGGAACAGCAAAATGCTTAGTGTCCTGCAGGGCATGGCACCAGGGGAAGCTAGACCCCACAGATCAAGACACAGGGCAGACTTCCCATTGGCAGGGTCCTCCATATTCCCTCTCTGCAATCCGACTGCCAGCCCCCCCAGAGCAGTGCCCTGACCTCGCTGGCTGGAGCTCTCCCTAGGCAGCAAGCTTCCTCCACCACACCGCTCAGGTGTGTGCTCAAGTCCAGGCTCTGTGGAGATCTTTTCCAAGCAGTGCCCTCAAATCAGGACACCTGACTGACTTCTAACACCAGACAGACAAAGCAGACCTGCCCTTACCCCTCTCTCAAATCCCCCATCTCTTCCTGCTTGCTCTTCCCACATGCACAGTGAGGCTTTCCCCCAACCTCACCCATTTTCTGTCAGGCCCTAGGGTACTGCCAAGGGTGTCTCTGATGGCTAGCAGGGCTCAGGCCAAATTGAAAAGGCAAATGGTGTGTTTGCTTCCACTTTTCAGGGAGCAGGCCCTGTCTGTGGGAGTGAGCACATAGGACACTCAGGGCTGGAGGTCTGCACAACCCACGCTTGTGAGGATACCACATACTGGGATAGATTAGCCTCCAGTGTGGCAGAACCACAGTTGCAGGCTACCCTGCTGTTAGCTACTGCAATTAAAATCACTCCGATTTTCAATGTGCAGAGCCTAGGAACCTAACTTCCCTCCCATTCTTCCTGTTGGTTGAGTCTCCCAGTGATGAGCAAGAGGATTTTGCTTTTGCTTTCTTTGTCTCCTATCATCATGCCCAGGTATGGCCAAAGATGCCATATATAGGTGGGAACATGTGCGGAGCAAAGCCCTTTGTTTCCTTATAAATGGAAACAAAACTCAAAGCAGAACAAGTGGGTTTAATGCCAGCAGCTTCAAAACCTCTGCAAGACAGAAGCAAATGCGCACAGTGAAATCCACTAGGATTTTAATTTCATATGAAAATTAAATAAAGCAGAAATCATTTCTTAGAGCTTAGAGGGATGCTCTGTCAACACTTCAGATAGATGCCAAGCGTGGTGGACGGCATCCTGGGTCAACACGCAAGCCCCTCTCCTCTCAGTCTCTACAAGTGACAGTGGCCACCCTTGCCCCCTTCCTTGAGTATCCACGCTCCTGACAGCTAACATGAAGCCCTCCTGCCTTGTCTTACCCAGCCTCCTTAGAACTCAGCATTTTGGCCCAGATGAGGTCAGTGTCAATGGGCTCCTCGCGAGGGTTAGTGGAGCTGACCTGCAGCATCAGGCTCTCGCAGGGGGCACCAGTTAGTGTAGCCAGGCCTTCAATAGCACGCCCTGCCTGGAGGGCAAAGTACGAACCATGAAGCTTGGCCAGCGCCTTCTCAATGAGGGCTACCCACAACTGCTTCCTCTGGGCCTGGGGAAAGAGACAGAAACATGTCACAAGCCACCCCCATGCATGTGATGGAAAAGCAAATGGACCACATGCAGAAAAGGCAAAGCCCTGCTCACCTGCTATCTGCTAGCCCTCACTCTGTGAAGGGAGATGGAATGATGGGAACAGCAAGGCCAAGCTACCAGGAGCTTGCTCACATATGACGAAGGGAGACCCCATTCTCTGCCTGTCCAGCATCTTGTTTGCAGTTTAATTCCCCCTCAGGAAAATACCCTGGATTTAACACGTAAGGGTCCTCTCTGTCTATCGGGAAACAAAATGCGGGCATGGACTCCTTTTCCTTCTCCTCTCCAATGTTTCCCTTTAATAGGACCCACTTCCAGAAGTGTTGGCAATCATTTTGACACACTTGGCTCTCCTGTATCCCTCCGGGGATCATCCACTTTGCAGAGAAACTGGGTAGGCAGTCCAGACTTGGCAATGGTATATCTATGTTTGAACAGTGGGAAGTCCCGGCCTGAACCCAAAGCAGTCTGCACAGAGCCAACTGGGGTTAAGCAGGGCACAGGAGCTGATGCTGCCAACTATGCTGAACAGACTCTGCCACCCCATGCCCAGAGAAGCCTCCTGGCTGATACAATTAACTGCCGTCCCAAGATTGGGCCACCTCCATGCAGTGGAGAGCACAGGCTACAAAGTCCTGTAGCTCTGTACAGGGGCTCTGCAAGCTGTGTCGATATTAAGGTTTCCCTAGTACTTGAGTTATCCGTGAGTCCTATCCTCACTGCATAAACATATCTATAGCTCAAGTGTGATGTAGCTCTTGGGGCTGTGTGTATTTTAAAACAGAGAATTTGGATTCGCAGAACACAGTCAAATCCACAGAGAAGTCCAATGTTCCTGGGTCCCTGTCTCTCCTCCTGACTGTGGCACTTTGGTTTATTTGGCAGATTCTACTGATTTTCAATAAAGACATTCTCAGTCTCCTTCATGGAAATGATCCAGGCAAATGCCTCCAGGCCTGGCAGGCCGGGCAGGGCATAACGCACAGTGACGTCCCAAAGTGGCTGAGAGAGCTTCTTTAATCCTAGCAGATGCCACCTGAGTGTGCTCAGAGCAACTAGGCACTGGCTCAAAATAGGCTGATTTACAGTGCAATCAACTTCCTCTCTGTGGCCTCTCCCTGACAAAGTCAAGATGCCAGATCTCCCTGCAGAGGAAAGAAACAGCTTTTGCTCAGCCCATCTCTGCCCCTCTCTGTGCAAAAATACTCAGGTAAAATACTTTCATTTTGCTGTGAAGAATAAAGATGGTTTCCCCTGCAGACCTGCAGTGTGGGGAGAGGAGAGGGGAAAAGACGACTGCAAAAGAACTCTCTCATAGTCTGGAAAATGACAAAAGGGGCCTGAACAGATTTACATTATGGCCTCAAAGAGCTCAGTCAACCTGAACACACAGCAGAAAGCAGGGTTGCAAGCTGCATATGCCCTATCAGCCTTCCCTAATGCAGCCCAGAGTAAGGGCTCCCTGTAAACCACAGCAGTATCTCTCTTCCCTCTCCACAGCCTCTATCAGTCCTCTCTTGGGATAGCAGGAGATGAGACTGTGCCGTGCCCCTCAGGCCCTGCCCACCTCTTCCTAGCACCCTTCCCCACCCTCCCACAGGATGCTGACCTGAGAGAAGAGGAGGTATCCACACTCATCACAAGGCAACATGTCATCCACCAGCACAGTGGTCCACGTGCCATCCTTGCACAGCCGAACCTGGTAGGCACCCTCAGGGCACAGCGTCCGCGTGATCATCACCCTCTCCACCAGCTCTGGCCGCTCTGCCAGCACTGCCAGGGCACTCAGGAACCTGGCAAGATGGGAGATGCTGTAAGCAAGGCATGGGAGGGCAGGACATGAGAGCTGGGGCTGCCCAGCTGAGCAGCATAGGGGCCTGAGATCCACAATGGTTTGGTAAGGGGTGAAATACAGAACAGGATATACAGTTGGGTTTACAAATGGGCTCTGGTTGGGCTCAGTAGTCCAATTTGGAACTGGATGGTGGGTGGAGAAAGGGGAAGGTGCAGGAGAGTGTCACCCCAGCTCTCTCCCCCTTACCAGCAGTTTCCCAGCAGTCCCTGTAGGATGTCTGAGGGCCTGGGTGTCCGAAACACTGACCACTTCACCGATCGGTCTTTGAAGATGCTACAGTTGATTTCATGGGGTCGCAGCCACTGTTTCACCCTCTGCTGGACGCTGTCACCTTCCGGGAATCCCACAGACTTGGGCCCAGGGTGGAAACTGTCATCTACAAAATTGACTTTGTTCTGCGAGAACAAATGGCAAGGACAGCATCAGTGTGCAGCTGTGTGGCATGCTCCCCAGGACCTCTTGGGATGGGGCCAGTGTGGAAAGCCTGCCCCACTCTACCCCTAGAAAGGAGACCAGAGCCCCTAATGCTCATGTTTGGCTCAGGTAGCCCATTCTGATGCCATGACAGGGAGCACGTTTCAAGGCCAGCATGAGGCTGGGTGTCTGCTGAAAATGTCACAGGCCAAAGCAGACTGTGCCTAGATGAATTTTATGCAGCAGGTCCAACATTCGGCCATGCCACTACTGTGCCTTCCATGAGCTGGTTCACCTCTCTGGGCACCAGGCTCCTGACTGCAACACAGATCATCTTTTTTCTTTTGTACAGCAGTCTCCTCAGGCAGGAACCATCTTGCACTTTGCACTGGTGCTAAAAGCTGGACTGTAGGGGACCGTGGCTGCCTCTACAAGCAAAGCATACAAGAACAGCAAGCCTGTGAAGAAGCATTGGGCAACAAAACCCTCCTCAACTGGAGCCCTGTGGTATGGGCTGAGCCACACAGGGCAGCCCCAGGCTCTGCTGCATCAATTTACAGCATAGTCCTCCTCCAGAGCAGGAGGTTGTGTTGCAGATCTCTGTGCCTCTTCCAAGGCAGATTTGTGGAGGACATCAGGGGCACCTTTCGCAAATGGATTCAGTCTGACCACAAACAAGTAAATAAGTCTGGAGTAAGAATATCCTGAGTCCACCTGCAATAGTTACTGCACATTAAATAAAATAGGATTGAATGAAGGACAGATAATCCTGTTGGTATTAGCCTCAGATTTAGGATGGAAGCACAAAACTTCACCAAGGGCAGAAGGGCTACTCATTCAAACAGTTTAACACAGGGTGAAATAAGAACCATGATTTTTTTTGTTATCATTAATTAAATGAAATCACTTTTTAAAATCAAAAGCTACCTGTGATTTAAATTAGCATTTATACACATGAAACAACTAGTACTTGTCTTCCTCTTTTGTTACAATCCTAACTCCCTGATGTGAATGCTTTCCATGTGGCTCTTCAATCAGTACTTTCAGCTTCTATTTTGCAAAAATGAGTTTTTCTGCTAATAAATGCTATCATTCAAATACTGATGCAGACAAAAAAGCCAGAGCCCTACTGGCTTTCTCAAGGAGACCATTTGTTCTATGCTTATGTGTGCAGATGATGAGTAAACTGCCTCTGCTGTATTTGCAAACAACCCCATTTTGCAACTTCTTGGCCTTGCATAGTCACCTCTTGGGGGAACAGACCAGGGTTCTCCAGGAACCCCCTGTGCAGGGCTGTACAGACACAGAACAAGATGACAGCTCTTGAATCAGGGCGTTCAGGGCATCCTAAGCTTTCTATCTCCTTTGGAGTTACTGCAGCTCTCTTCCAAAAGGCAGAGATGGAGGACAGCCTTCTATCTCCCTGACACCATGGCCAGGATCCAACCTGTCACTGTCCTGAGCTAGGACAGCACTGAGCAGGGCTGTGTGAGCTTAGACAGCACCTACACCAGCCACAACAGCTATGTGAACACAGCCCCTTCTCCTCTCTCCAGCCAGAATAGGACACCGGGCTCAGCAGGAGCCTAAGCCCATTATAGGCTCTGTAGTGAACAGTCTGAATGCAGCCCTCAGTGGCTTTCCCAGGGACTAAGTTCCCCCACATTTGAGAGTACACTGGAGCACAAACAAGGGAAAGGTTGTCCAAGTGTCCCCAGCACAGCAATGTACAGCTGAGAACCTTTGAGCGGCTCCATGGCTTCAGGCACAAATGGCATATCAGGTCCAAATGCAACCAAACCCTGTTTCAGTGACAGATTTGGGAGCACAGGTGGGACAGGACACTGAGAGCCCCACTGAAGAGACCAGCTGGGGGTAGCTTGCTCCACTTTTACAAAAAAAACATAATTAAAGCAACCATGCAATTAGCAATGAGCGCCTGCCTAAAGCACCCCTTTCCTCTAGCTCTCACAGGGATCAGAGCTCACATGTGCCTGGGGCACACTGTTAGGATGGGCCTGGTCCAGCCCAGATTGGTTTGCAAGGCCAGCGTCCCAGCAAAGAGCAACTCAAGCCCACTGACCTCCCTGGTCTGTCAACACTGACGACAAGAAGGCAATTCAAGAGTGCCAGTGCAGTTCCCCAACAGCGACAGGGAAGGCTGCCCAATAAGCTAATTAGGCTTATAACATGATGTCTCCTTTCACACATTAATGCATTGCAGAAGTGGTCAATATCAACATCCCTGTGAGATGGAGGGAAATAGAGGCTGCAGGAGCAATATCAGAGCCAGAGAAGAGTCTGCAGCAGCTAACTCTGCTTGTGCCCAGGCTGCTGAGCTGGCCAGGGCCAAGCAGTGATCTGGAGTACTGCCTTCCACGCTGCTCCACAGGGTTCGGGCCATGAGGCATACAGGGGTAACAGAATGAGGATTCCAGCTGTCTGATACTTTCCTCCAAGTGAAGCCTGAGCAGCACAGTGCCTGTGAAACAGCAGTCAAAAGGTAGCTTTAAGGCTGCTCAAGACAATGGCTAGCCATTTTCAGACACAGCTAGGAGTTCACAAACACAAGAATAGAAGCCTGAAAAGCCCCGAGACAGATAAACAGTACCTTGAGTGCAGGACTTTGGAGGCCTTAAATAATATCCTAGCCTCTTATAAGAACTGCTGCTTCCCCAAATTTCCTACACCTACACATCACAGGTGCTGCCCACAAACAGCAGTGCCACTAGCAAACGTGGATACGCTCTTTCCCAGCCTTCCTTATCTTTGGACAGGGAGCGAGCTGGATTGATCGCCTTAGAAAGCTCCCTTCACCATAGAGGTTACCTCCATCAATTTAAAACATCAGTATGTTTCAGAGTTAGCACTCAGCCTTCCTCACTTGGACAAGGAGCAAGACGGAGGGATCACCTTGGAAGGTCCCCTTCACCCTGGGGATTATCTCACACCAATTTAACTTATCATTATGCTTCAGCATTAACACCCAGCAGCCAGCTGTTGCAGGGGAAGATTTTCTCTGCAATCCTAAGGCTCAAAGAGATAGAAGGAAGCTTGCTTGTGTGAAGTGATATCTGATAACCTAGACCCATGGAGAAACTGTGAAAAGGGCTCCCTCTAAGTGAGATTAGGAGTAAGACTAGTTCCGCAAGCACTCACCTCCCGGCAGAAAGTCACAATGTTTTCCCACAGGGCTTTGGCCTCTCCTTCATCTGTCTGCCGCCTCTTCTCCACATGCATGCTCTCACGTCTCTTGAGGGGCTTGGTGCCCTTGTGTTGGGCCACATAGTGCTGGGGGGTATGGCAGGCCACGCAGTGCTTGGCCTTGAGCTCATTGAGCAAGGTGCAAGCAGGACAAGCCCACTGACTTGGCCTGTCTTGGGCTGTGGGCAGCTGGGAAGGGAAGAGGCGAGCAACCTTGCGAGCGGACGGGGCCCTGCCAGTGCAGGAGGAACAGCCGCCCTTGTCGCAAGCCCCGCACTCGGAACACCTGGGGGTCAGCTCACCCTGCACCCCATGCTCCTGGAAGCCATGCAATTTGGAGGAGCCGCAGGCTTTGCACTTCTGGGCCAGTGTGGGGTTCTTGAGGGTGCATTTGGAACAGGACCAGGTAGTGAAGTCAGGGCTGGAGGGGCTGCATGGGGTGAATCTCACTGAGTCCCCCACCAAGTTGATCATGTCACTGCCTTTCTGGGTACAGCAGGCCTCACATTTGCTTGCCCCGGCAGAGTTAAGCAGGGAGCAGGTGCTGCACTTCCAGTGGGACGGACTGACCTCCATCTCCTCCTCCAGCACGCCCAGTCGCTTGTTGGACAGCAGCTCCTGGAAGCGGGCAGCTGGTGGAGCTCTGGCCTGACCCTGTGGAGAGCCCTTCTGCCCAGGTACGGTCTGAGCCACAGGCTGCGAGGCTTCAGGCCCTGGCATCTGCAGCTGCGGGGGGACCTCCCGGCGGCTCCGGGGCACAGGGTTGTTCTGGAGCCCCGGCGAGAAGGGGCTGAAGGCTGGCATCTTCTGGGCCTCTTGTTCCGTAGTCACTGGGCCCTGGGTGGCTACAGCATCACCATCGGTGATCTCTACAGAGACTAAAGGCTGAGGGGCAGCTGCAGCTATGTGAAATCCAGCAGGAGTGATGACTTCAGGGACGACCAGCGCCTCTGGCGGGATCTTGGGCAGGGAGAGCTTGCGTGGCCCACCACAGGCAGAGCAGGAGTTGGCCACTGGCGTGTTGTGCAGCGTACAGCGCTGGCAAGCCCAGCCATTCTCCAGCTCTGCCTCATCTGGACTCTTCCCCCCAGAGTCCTCACTGCCACTTTCTGCCTTGATAGCCTCCTCCTTGGATGTGCCCTTGGGCTCCACAAGCACGGTGGGCTTGGGCAAGATGCCATTGATGATGGGCAAGGGGGAGCTGCTGGGCCCTGGCTCTGGGGTGAAGCCACACACCTCACAGGTTTCCTTGCCCAAAAAGTTCCTGAAGGTGCAGCGGGCACAGGCCCACTTCTGTTCCTCCACACTGAGCCGCAGAATGTGGTTGAGGTCAGGCTTTTGGCGAGGGGCTTCACATATGGAGCACTGCCGTTGGCCGACAGGGTTCAAGAAGGTGCAGCGGGTGCAGGACCACTCACGCACAGCAGCCATGGAGCCAGGAGAGTGTGAGTGGCTGGAAGAAAGCAGAAGAGAGCATAAGGGCAGGGCCACTGGGTACATGGAGATACCATACACATCCTTGCCTGGTAATAGATGGAACCTCACTTCCAGGAAGGGAATAAATGGCAATCCTGTCATTGCCTTCTAGGGGCTTGATTCTCTGGCGCTGACAGTGTGCAAGGCAATGTGCTGGCTTCCACCCAAACCACTTAAGAAAGGGTGCAGAGGTGCCATCTGAGGCTGTGCAACCCTGCTGACCCCTCTCTGATTGTGGAGGTGCACCCTTGCAAGCAAGCTCACTGCTTCTCCACTCCACCACTACCCTGGACAATTTTGTACTTCTGTTGCTTGTTTGTAACTCTCTGGCTAAGGTGACACTGAGATGAGCCAGGCAAACACCTGCTGCTGGCTCCCTTACCTCTTCAGAAAGCAACTGCTGCTCCTAGTGGCTGTTAATACCCCACCTCCAGGCAGTTTCCTCAAAGAACTGTGCTCTGGCTTACGCTTGGTTAGCTTGTCAGGCACCCTCTGCTGCCCCCAGCCAGGCATAGGGAAAGGAGCAGCCTATTGCCTAGTGTGTAGAGCCAGTGCTGAGCTCAGGAAGCTGTGGGAGCATAGCTGCACCAGGGAGAAGACCCAAAGGCACCGCGGAAGAAAGCAGAGCGCCTGACAAAAACAGGCATTCCTACCTGCGAAGTCACTGACGCCTTTGTTGGGCTCAAGCAGCTTTAATATCTGCTTTCCCCTCTTTCTGTTCCCAGCATCAATTCTTTATTCCTTCAATGCCACTCCAGCCCTCCTCTGTTCTGCTTTCTGTTCTTGTCTCTCTCCTCCCCTTTTGGCTCGCCTCCACACATGCCAGTGGATACACAAATTCTCCAAGGGGTGGGAAACCAAGATCCCCACTCTGGTTCAAGACAGCGCTGAGCACTGAAAAGCAGTGGTGCCGTACAGTGATGCTTTTACACGACTGTAAGCTTTTGGGCCAGAACTAGCTCGTGCCTGGCCCAGTCAACCCTTGAGTGGTAGTACAGTGCTGGGCGTAGGGCAAGTTGCAGCAAGCCAGGTGCCAAGACAGTCTGAGATCAGCAGTAGCTCCTGACTCCCACCAACTTCCAACAGAGGCAAGACATTTCTGCTCAGCAGCCTTGCAGGGACCCTGTGTCCCAGCTCCAGGTACGTTGCACCTGCCTCCACTCAAGAGGAACTCAGGAGGTTGGTTTCAACCTCCACTGGTGCCTGGGAAAGCCTGAAACCCTAACTGGAAATGGATCAAACATGCCAGAGCTGCCTCAATCAGGAGCTAATGTTTTCTAGGCAGGTTCAATTTTCAGAAACTTAAGCACTGCAATTGCACCAATTCCAGAGAGCCGTGGAAACCTCTGGGCTTACAAGGGGCAGCTCTCCCTCACTGCTGCCGCCCAGCCTGTGCTTTCAGTAAGGCTTTCATGCGTGCTAACAAACTGCAGAAGGTACCGCAGCCCTCCCTAATGCCCTTTGTCCTCTTCTTGGGGTCATTTCCAGGAGCTATGAGCAAAGGTGGGGCTGAAACAGAGCTTCCTGCCTCCTCCTCCTTTCACACAAGGCAAAGTAATTTCCCTTCAGGTAAAGGTGCAGCACAAGAACTCAATGCCCTGCCTCTGTGTACCCTTGCTCCCAGATACTGCAGCCAAGTCTGAAGCCCCAACCTTGAAAGCAAACTCCAGGCAAGCAGAAGCTCTGCAGATAAAAGCTGCAGGGAGTTGCACCTCTCTCTGGCTGAGCTGTTCCTTTTCCAGTGTCCCTTCCACCCTGCCTTGCTTGCCTGGGGGGCTCTGGGCAGGACTGGGCCTGAAGGAGAAGCCTCAGAGTCCACCTCATGCCCTCAGCTCTTCCTGGAAACAACACCACTCTCTGCAAATTCAAGGTTTCCCAAACTAAGGAATCAGTGGCCCAAATCACGATGGGCTGCACACCAGTGGCCTCATCATTTGTTCCCTCTCTAGCATGCCTTTGAGGATCTGTTTCAACCACAACACAGGCTGGAAATAAGAAGGAAAAGAAGATGTTTTATGCCATGGAGGGCAGGTACAGAAAGCTATGAGATGCTTGTGCAGTCCTCTGAGGGAACCTGGTTCTGGCTTGTCTCCAGAGTCCCAAGCAGCAGCACCTGCACAAGCAGCTTCCAAAGGCAGCTCTGAGCAGACTGCATTGCAGCAGTGGGATCTGGACATGACAGAGGATTGTGGTAACAACCACCCTATGGAGGAGGAAAGCAACTTGCCGTTTGGCTAGATACATGAGAAACTCTCCCAGAAATGCCCTACCAGCAATCTGACTGCATTTCCAGACTGTGCCCCACAGCCATCAGAAGATCCATGCCCATCACCAGCAGATCAGCCACAACCTTCAACTCCTTTCTCAAATGAAATACTTCTCTAAATAAACCCTAAGCCCAAGAAACACATTTTATTTCAAGGGAGAGCTTGAAAATTCTTTCCAGTTCATATACCACTCTTTCATATTTTGAACTTTACAAGGTATTTTTTTACCGGAGTTATTTCAGGACTCTTTCACAACTAAGTGAAGTATAAACATTGATTTTTCTGCCTGAAGTCCTACAGCTGTGAGCCCCAGTACAGTTCCCCCACCATGGCAGCACCATGCAGCCCACAAACATCTGAAAGGGGAGTCATTCTTCAAACAGAGGGAAGGAGCTGCCTGCCTGACTCCAGTCACAGTAGCGAACAGGGCCAGGAAAGGCACTGTGATCCTATCACATCCATTCATCTTATTGGATGTGGTTCATCAAACCACAGACATCAGCACATAGCAAGAGAAGGCTGTCAGCAACCTGCGTTGTCCACATCTGTCCTGCATTCAGTCCCATGCTAATAACCCATTCAGTGGGCTGGAGAGCACTGGCTCCAAAAAGCAACCCCTAAACGCACATGCCACACTGATCAGGACTCTCCAGCTACCACTCTTCCTGCTACACAAATCTTGCTTGCACCCAGGGTCTTACACAGCAAGCAAAGGCTTCTGGTCATGCAACCACAAGGCCATAAAAATAAACCACCTCGTCCCTTCCCATGTCAGTAAAGAGAAAGAAAAAGACAGGATAGCCTAAAAGACACAAGTACCATGTGAGGGGAAAGCGGATGAGCCTCACCATCAGACACATCTGATGGGTTATTAGCAACCAGCTGTGAGTTTGGGGAAGGCAGCACAGTTTCACTTGTCCAGGCAGGTGATCCAGGCCCCAGCTCTTCAAACAGCAAAGAGGGAGGTGGAAGCTGTGAAACTGCAGCACTCTGCTGTGTCACTATATTACTTGCACATGTGCTCTCATCCTGAGCTCAGATACAAGCTTGGGAAGCTACTGTCCCTCCCAAGCAACCTACTTCTTTCCATTGCCCCAGGAGTCTGCTCCCAACATTCTCTGCTTCAGGGACACTATCCTGCCTGCTGCTGGAATTTCCATCTACTCGACTTACTGTACTGACAGCTCTCGGAAAGAACAAAACAAAAAAAAACTAGAAAGCTTGCCCTTAGCCAGCTCTTTCTTTTGCTGCTCCTTCATGGGCCACCAGTAGGGCCAGCTCATGCAAGAGACTTCTGTGTCCACCTTCCCCTAGGGCAGCTCTCGCACCACGCCACAATGCCAGGCAGCCCTGCAGCCACACAATAATAGCCACTCAACTTTCCAGTGCAAGCTAGTGAGAGAGACACAGAAACAGGACAGGAAGCAGTACAGGCATCTTGAGATGTCCTCCATAAGCTGCTAATTTCCCTGCCTTGATAATGTGCATTGAACCAGACTGCATTCTGCTTCTACTGGACTCCTGCCTAGGACTGATAGACAAGAATTCAAATCCCTGGCTGGATCACCAGACTTTTAAAAAGTCTGTTGAGATCACAAAGGGCACACAAGGCTGTAAGAGTAGTGCTGAATGCTAGCCCTTGGCCCTTTCTTACACAGTACACCATGTAAATGCACACAGCAGGCCTTAGTAGCATCTTATTCCCCACAGCTCCACTTACCTATAACCACAGGCACTGGCTGAAGAAGAAACCCAGCCACAGCCCATCTGAGCTCTGTACTTCCTTCTCCCCATAAAGTCTGTCTGACTCCCTTCGTAGCAGGCAATGAGCTGTTTGAGAAAATACAGTTGTCTCCACCACCTATTCACCAGGCCCATCTGCTGTATGATAACACATATACTCTCCAGCTCCAGAAAACACAACTGAAATAAACATTGCCTGCAATTTCCCTGACCTGCCTACGCATGAGAGGAGTTCCTCTTAAAAATGGCCACTCCACACTGACTTGGTAAAGTTGCCTACCCATGAAAGGGCTTTTTCTTGGGAGACAAGCACATTTCTGGGAGCATGATGATGTAAGCAAAGGGAACCCTGCCATGTGCTCAGCCCCTCACTGCCCTGTGATGCGGCACAACCAGGCTAGCTGGAAGCAAGGATCTGCTAGAGGCTCTTGGTGCACACAACAAGAAAAGGGCAACAGCTGTAAAACTGTACATCTCCAGGGCTGGCTTCACATGGAAGGGCTTTCCACTGGAATAACTCTACCCATCCAAGACAGGATGCAAATCAACAGGCAGGGGTTACTACCACATTGTCAGGACTTCACATACCTTGGCAGTCACAACAGCGGAATTCTAATCCTTGAAAAAGAATATTTAAAGTCCAAGTTGACCCCAACCAAGTACATAGTTTTCAGTGTGCTGATCACATCTCATGAAACATTATTTCCTGCTCTGCCTTAGAGATTTAAAGGAGGACCAAAGATCAGCCTGGCAACAAAGTGGGCTCTGCAGAGCCTGCCTTGTCCAGGATGCTGGCTGGAAAGTTGAACCAGCATAGTGGGATGAGGCTGCGAGGGAGTCTCCAGGAAGCAGAGCTGACTAAAGGGTGTGTGGGGCTGTTTCCCTCCGGAATCATTTCTGAGAGCACAGGTGCAGCAGGAAAAGGCTGTCCCTAGGAGGCAAGTGGCAGAGGGTAGGGAGAGCCCAC